AAGGGCCGAAGGGGATCTGGTGCAGCATCGGCACTCACCGCCGCTTCTCCTCGTCGAAGCTGAGGACGAGCCGCGGCCGCCTGTTGTCGCCATCTCGCTTCTTCTTGTTGCGGCCCATAACGATGAGGCCGGGGCGGTGCGTCTCCCGCTAGCTTAAGACACTTCCGGGTGTAGCGTTTTCGGCCTTCCGGGCGCGCCTCGCAACAGTGCTCCGCAGTTCCGCTCATCAGGCTCCGTCTTTTAAAGGGACCGCCCCAGCCCTTCTCCGGCGACTCCCAGCCCCACTCTACTAGCAACGACAAGCAACGGTGAGAGCAAGGCCCCGAGGTCCTAGCCGCCAGCACAGTGGCTGGCACACAGTAGGCTCTCAATACGGCGTTATTAGTGAATGGCCAAAGATAGCGGGTCCTACTTTTGAGTCTAATGTCAACTTGGTGGTGGTCTCCAAGAGCACCTTTCTGGGGCCGGCAGAGTGGCGCGTTGGTTAAGAGTTGGCTTGGGATGCCAGCTCTGAGCAGCAGGGCCCTGGTTCGTATCCCACATGAGGGCACAGCATCACTGTGCCCTCTACAGCTAAGATGGTGAACAACAGCTCGACCTGGAGTTGGGCTGCCCTGAGTTGCAGGCGACTAGGCTGCTGTGGGGGGGGGCGCTGGCTGGCAGCTGGCATGAGCTTTCCTGAGCTGCCCTGAGCGACCGTCCAGCTCAGCTGGGAAGAGCGCAATGATAATACCAACTTGGGCCAGTGAAGCAGCATCCTCCACAACTAGACTGAAGAACAAAGGACAGCAACTTGTCTGTTCCCCTCCCCCAATTCCTCAATAAAATCTTTAAAAAAAAACAAACAAGCAAAAAAAACCCACCACTTTTCTGGAGGCAAACTACCTGGATTAGAATCTTTGTAGCCCAAATACAGCTGTGTGATACTGGACCAATTGCCTTTGCTATTCCTGAATTACCTGTTTGTGAAATGGGGATAATTACAGTGATTTTGTAGGGTTATTGTAAGGCAGTGTTTTTCAAACTTTGGTGTGCACCAGAACCCCCTGGAGGTCTTGCTGAAACCCAGATCACTTGACCCCCCATTACAGTTTCTGATTTATCAGGACTGGAGTGAGCCCCAGAATTTGCATTTCTAACACCTGTTGTCACTGGTCCACAGACCAAACTTAGAGAACATGATCGTGAGGAATTAAGTGAGTTATGTAATGTGTGTGTAACATAATACATGCCACACATGTTTGCTACACAAGCCATGTCCCCTCTCTGTGCCTCAGTTTCTCCAGGTATGAATGGGGGTGTAATAACACCCTTTACTGAAAATGAGGGCAGGAATGGGAGGGCATTCGGTAAAACAACACCCGAAGGGGAATTTTAGTAACTGGAATTGTGTGCTTGAATCCCCTTGTAAACAGTAATATAAGTGGAGCCACTTTAAAATGGAGTCAGAACTGCCATCCCAGAGGAACTGCCTTACACATCTTAACTCCTCAATCTTCAAACCTTTGGGATGTTAAAACTGGGCAAAATAACCTTTGGACTGGGCCTAAGCAACCTTGTTTCCTAAGGAACTATTTGCAAAGATAACAAGAAAGCAGTTATGATTACTGGACTGATGACTACTGGGCTGAAAATTTAAAACGTTGTTTAGAATTAATACCTGTGTGTTATGTTATCTGCACCAATAGAAATGTCTTCCTTCTATTGATGTAATTGTTTCCTTTCCTGTTCTCATAAATACTCCTTGCCTTTGTCTCTTAATTGGAACATTAATTGGGACTCTGCCTGCATTAATGATTCCCGAATAGCTGTTCTT